AACATCCGGGTTGTCGAGGTACGGTATTTACATTGACCGTCGGAACTCAACGTGGCTCGTGCGGCAGGCTGTCGGTCGGTGGTGGTGTCTTGAGATGGCACTAGGCGGGTACTCCCCTAGTTGTGCTTGCGGAGGTTGAGCTCTGGCTCTTTGGTCCCGCCTCTCAACCGTCAATCAACTGGTGTACAGATTCCTGAGCCTACCGGGCTCTATCATATCTACATTTGAAACTATGTATGGAGTCAACCTCCACCACATCACTGCCTGATGTATTCTACCCGTTAACTACTCTGACCTTGAAAAAATTCTTTCTAATGTCTGTGGCTCATTTGAGTAATAAGTTTACACCTGTGTCCCCTTGTTCATGTACCATCCGTGCTAAAGAGTTTCTTTGTCCACCCTGTCAATTTCCCTGAGAATTTTGTAGGTGGTGATCATGTCTCCCCTTATCTTCTGTCTTTCAGGGATGTGAGGTTTAGCTCACGGGTGTGCGCGCTCCGTCGGGGCTCCCCCCCCTCCCTGGGCAGTTGCCTTACATTTAGACCTCTGGCATATTAACCAACCTTGTCTGCCCTTCATAGGCTATACACGCACCTTGCTGTATGACTCGTGACCTCTGTAGGGACCTCATAGGACCCCTGATCTTATAGGACCCTTGGCCTATGAGTCCAGTATGGACACGCCCTGCAATGCTACCGGTGGTCCATGTGATACACTACATGTAAACTGGTACCGAGTGGGTTTCCGGGATGAGGTGGTAGTGGTGTGGTGTGGGGGGGGGGGGGAAGGATATGGCAGGAGAATACTGCGGGCTCACCATACAACCCGTTCTCGCAAATTCGTAAAGTCAATATTGACTTATTAACTACGTGCATAGGTGATATACTAAACATAATAGATACCCTTAAAAAGATTCATAGAAAACACCGACCTTACCTAACCTTGTTAGTATCTTAAGATAAGCATCTTATAGCTTCGTAATTACAATTGTTACTTAACCTATTATAGGTATAGGTTAAGTAATAATTGTAATTACGAAGCAATAAGATGCTTATCTTAAGATACTAACAAGGTTAGGTAAGGTCGGTGTTTTCTATGAATCTTTTTAAGGGTATCTATTATGTTTAGTATATCACCTATGCACGTAGTTAATAAGTCAATATTGACTTTACGAATTTGCGAGAACGGGTTGCACCATAGCCCGTGCTACTTGGAACTTTTTGTTCCGGGTAGCGAATCTTGAACAACAACAACAACAATATGGCAGGAGAGGCGTGGTCTGGGAGCTGAGGTCAGTGGCACTAGTTTACCTGTGATTTACCTGTGGGTAGTTGCTAGACTGACACCCAGCTACAGCCCTGGTTTTTCCTTATTTACAAATTGCAAGACGTACTCATTTCAATAAGTTTTTTGTAAATAAATGTTTAAGAATATCCTAAGACATTGAAAACGCTTTACAAGTTGCTAGAAACAATTTCTTCAGTTTGTAAAATAAGAAACGAAACTTCATACAAATTATTAGTTTTGCTGTCGTTGATACTGAAATTAGTCGAGTACTTAAGATTGTAATGTCTTGATATAAAGACATCTTTGATTAAACATTCTCCCTGAGGTAACTGTTGGTGGCGTGTCCAAAACTCCTGCTCAAGCGTGTACTCGCCTAGTTGTGTTTGCGGGGGTTGAGCTCTGACTCTTTGGTCCCGCCTCCCGTGTGTTAAGCTGAGTGAGAGACGAGCTGGTGGTGTATACAGTTATAGTCATCTTTATTACTATATGTATTTATAAAGAAAACGTGCCCTGGTTATATCGAATTGTATTGATACATGGCTTAGCATAGGTGGGGAACAGGTAGTTTTTTTTCTTCATGGTTTCATTCATTTCTTCAAGCACCTCCAAAGGATACCTGATCAACCAGGCTGCGACTCATACGTCAGGCTGCGAGCAGCCGCGTCCAACAGCCTGGTTGATCAGTCCAGCAACCAGGAGGCCTGGTCGACGACCGGGCCGCGGGGACGCTAAGCCCCGGAAGCACCTCAAGGTATGGTGTGGCTGGACATTACGAAGCAGCGTTCGGGAGGATCTTGAGGAAGTTGCGAGGATCAATGTCTCAGAGGCTCGGTCTCTGACCACGACTCCAGGATTCTAACGCATTGTTTATTTTAGGTGTGTCCAGTCATGCAGTTGACTGAATTATTTATTACAAAATGAGAATGTTATAGATCCATCTTCACCTTTTGAGCGTCCTCACTTAGGGAGGAAGCTCAAAAATGTTCTCAAAAGTATATTATAACATTTTGTTTGCCTGATACGTTCTTCAGCAACACGTTATGATTAATAAAACTACAATAAACTTTGGAGAGACAATTGTTGAACATCCTGAGTGAAGAACATTAATAGCAAATAGTTTTTTTTTGCTAGAGGAAGGGAATTATCAGGGGAAAGCGCCAAGTCATTAAGACTATATAGCACTGGGAAGGGATAAGGATTTGGGATGGGACGGAGGGGAAGGAATGGTGCCCAACCTTTTGGAGGGTCGGGGATTGAACGCCGACCTGCATGAAGCGAGACCGTCGCTCTACCGTCCAGCCCAAGTGTTTGTTAGTCATATAGATCAAACCGCGTTGGTCATATTTAGTAGCACATTATATAGCGGCGTGTTGTTATATGGTCATTATTATTATATATGACATTATATAACGGAGGCCTGGTCAAAGACCGGGCCGCGGGACGCTGAACCCCGGAATCATAGCAAGGTAAGATGTTGGGGTACCGTAATCCCTTTGCTTCTTCAGGCCGTTCTCGGCAGGGTCCCCACCGTCAAGAAACTGTCCTACTAAAGTGCCCTAACCCAACCTACCAGAGTACCCCACGAACAGAAAACTGGACGTTGTCAACTTCGCGAGCCGCTACTATATTCTTGCACGACAGATTTTGGCCTTAAGTAAAGTATGCGTCCAAATGCGACGTGATACAAAGAAAACGAGTTGGCTGCTCTGGGCTTTGAGTTAATCTTTTTCAGTGTAGAATGTCGGGGTAACTAAAGTCACCGAGAACACACTAACGCCAGTCCAGAATCAGACGCGCGAGGTCCGTTAACACTGGATGGTTCACCTAACATGATGTTAAGGTCCGTTAAACACTGGCGTAGCGTCAGTTATTCAATATTCAATTTACAGTCTCCGTGGTGTAGTGGTAAGACACTCGCCTGGCGTTCCGCGAGCGCTTTGTCATGGGTTCGTATCCTGGCCGGGGAGGATTTACTGGGCGCAAATCCTTAACTGTAGCCTCTGTTTAACTCAACAGTAAAATGTGTACTTGGTTGTAACAACGATTCTTCGCGGCGGGGATCGTATTCCAGGGACCTGCCCGAAACGCTACGCGTACTAGTGGCTGTACAAGAATGTAACAACTCTTCTATATATCTCAAAAAAAAAAAAAAAAAAAAAAAAAAAAATAAAATGAAGTCAATTGCTAAGCATTTTAATTCACATTTGCGAGAATTTGTCATTTATAACTCGTTTCATAATCACTATTGAGCTCGATACTAAGATTTAATACTATTTTTTTAAATCTAGCCATATATAGTTGCTGATATTCACTCTACCAAATATTCATTTTTTTCTCTCTCCCAAGTGTGGAGTAACGTGTTGAAACTGTGTATCTTGCGCCTTACTTTCCCAATGATACCTTTTTTAAACTTTACGGGAAAGGTATATAATGGTTTACATTGGATATATTGATAGATGTGAAGCAGTTTGTCACTAGTGCTGTGATGGTTGTTATTGGCGGAGTGGCCAGTCTTGTTTCATGACGACGCCAGTACTTACCTAGTGGTGCTCACCAAGTTGTGCTTGCGGGGGTTGTGCTTTGGCTCTTTGGTCCCGCGGTCTCTCAACTGTCAATCTACTGGTGTACCGGTTCATGAGCATACTGAGCTCTATCATATCTACATTTGAAACTGTGTATGGAATCGGCCTCCACCACATCGTCTCTGTGGCTCATTTGGGTTCTCGGCTTTCACCCGTGTCCCCTTGTGCGTGTACCGCCCGTGTTAAATAATGTCCTTATCTATCCTGTCTATTCCCCCCGAGAATTTGGAATGTGGTAATCATGTCTCCCAGAACTCTTCTGTCTTCTAGCGACGTGAGGTGCAATTCCCTCAGGCTTTCATCGTAACTCATGTCTCTTAGTTCTGGGACTAGTCTGGTGGCATACCTCTGAACCTTCTCCAGTTTCGTCTTATGCTTGACAAGGTACGAACTCCATGCTGGCGTCGCATACTAAAAGATTGGTCTTACATACGTGGAATTGTCAGGCGTAGTGTTGAAGCACAGGGGACCTGCCAACCAGTATGGGTAATCGTGTAAGTGGTCTTAAGTACACATGTTGACGCTCCTAGCAACAGCCTGCTTCACCAAGCTCTTGGGGCCAGGCTCGGGGAGTGCATCTCTCGAAACCCTCTCCAGGTATGCTGCAGGTAAACACCGTAGAGGTTTTCAGCTGGGCTGAAGTGGTAGATAATTAACTATCTGTGATACACAGAGAAATCACAATAACCTGATATATCAAATGATCAAATCCACAAGGGCCGTGATGAGGGTTCGAACCTTCGCACGGGATGTTCATTATTTGGATTTGTTTTCAAACTTGTGGATTTGTTCATTATCATCCGTGAGGTTGGTTGGGGACGCGAGGTGGCGGCAGCCTTGACGGAGGTATTTCTTCCCCATGTACGGGGACATTAAACCCGTTATGTCAGATTGAAGTACGTTTATTGAGACTATAAAATACATCTCAACAGGATAGAGTAGCTTAGGCTATTTCCAACCCTCCGTCATGTCATATTTACACTCTGGTGATGTTGCTTGTAGGTGTGGATTCGTGTGTTTATATTCTCTCATTTTAAGATTTAATCTAAAACCTCTTATTATTTTATGTTTATTATCACTCTTATTTTATATTCATATTAGTTTATTTCGTTTTCTGTTTGTATCGAACAGCGTAGGAATAAAGGCGTGTATGGCCGGGAAGCGGAAGGTGGTGTGTAGCGGGGAGGGCCCGCCCCCCAGGAGGCAAAGGTAAGCTCACTCTCTCTCCTCTAGTCCACCCTGTGCCCGCCCGCCCGCCCGCCCGGTCGTGCCTCAGCGCCCGCCCGCCCGGTCGTGCCTCAGCGCCCGCCCGCCTGGTCGTGCCTCAGCGCCCGCCCGCCTGGTCGTGCCCGCGCTCCCCAGCGCCCGCCCGCCCGCGCTCCCCAGCGCCCGCCCGCCCGCGCTCCCCAACGCCCGGCCATGCCCCCTACGCCCGCCCGCGCCCCCCCCACGCCCCTAATCAGCCAGAGCAGCTGGTGTCGGCGAGGTGGTTCGCTGGCAGACTGGCTTAGCGAGTGGCCTGTATCGGGTGACTGGTTCGGCTGTGACTTGTACTGAAGGCCTAGTTGGCTTTACCGCCTCTTGCTTGTACCGGCTATTGCTTATATCGGGTGAGTGAGTGGCTTGGCCAGGATGAGCGTGTGGTGGGCAGACCTGGAGAGGGTTCTGGCAGTTCTTCTACTTCTAGAGCCCCGGCCCGAGGCCAGGCTTGACTTGTGATAACTTAGTCCAACAGGCTGTTGCTTGGAGCGGCCCGCAGGCCCACAACATCAACCTCATCATGTTATTTTTAGTTGCCCAATCGAAGACCTTATTAATATCTGCCTGCAGTTTTTGAATGTGTTTTACAGAGGAAATTTTATGTTGATTGTTTTATCACCTGTAAAGGATGACACGAAGCTGTGACTGGTCAAAATTAATATTAATATTTTTTTCTATTAATAGACAAAAATACTAGTCACAGCTTAGTCGTGCTTTGCAGATGATACAATAATGAGCATGGAAATTTCATCTGTAGAAGTCACTGAAAAAACTGCAGGAAGATATTAAATATACTCAGATATGCTCAGTCTTCGATTGAGCAACTGAAAATAACATGTTTAACGGTGACAAGTTCCAGGTACTGAGGTATTGTGGATACAAGGAAGTTAAACGAAACGTAGGGTACAGAACACAGACACAATCATAGAAGGAAAATAACATGTAAAAGATTTGGGCATTATGATGTCTGACGACCTGACATTTAGTGAACATAACCGAGCAAATATCTCGGCGGCCAGGAAAATGTTAAGATGGATTATGAGAACGTTCAGATCCAGAGATCCCACAGCAATGCTAATACTATTTATATCACTGGTGCTGTCCCGTCCTGAGTATTGTCGCAGATGTAGTGTAGGGGATATGTGGGCCCTGCGCGTCGCTCCAAGCAACAGCCTGTTGGACCAAGTTATCACAAGTCGAGCCTGGCCTCCCTGGCCGGGCTCGGGGAGTAGGAGAATGCTCAAAACCGTCTTCAGGTATGCTCTAGGTATACTGCACTTGGGCTTGATCTTATTTGATTGACCGTCACTCTCTGCATTCTTCTTGACAAAGTTGAAAATCCACCGCCCAACTTTACCCGTTATTCCTATTGATCTCATTTTGTGGGCTATCACTTCGTGGTCACATTTGTCGAATGTGCAAAGTCTGTGTATACAACATCTGCATTTTGCTTTCCTTCTAAGGCTTCTGTGTGATTTTGTCGTATTGGTTGAGTAACTGTGACAGTTACTCAACTGTCGTTCGTGTGAGTGTTTACACCAGTTCTCTTGCTTGTTTATATCTTAACGAAGATTGCTGTCTTTCCTCCGCGCTGGACCAGGATGGTCTCGCCAGTATTTGCTCGATTGGGCGACTGAAAACATGATGTTTTAACATATAAATGCCAGGTACTTATGGTAAAAATGAATAACAGACGAAATACAGAGTACATGACACAATTAGATCTGCTCGTAGAAGGGAAGCAACACGTAGCAGATCTGGGAATAGTGATGTTTGATAACTCGATGTTTTGTGAACATAATGGAGCAAATTTAACCTCAGTTTGGGAAATGGTAGGATGGATGTTGAAAATCTTCAAATCCTGGTTAACCTTACCCTAGCCAATGTCACAAATTCAACCTATTACAATAATATATCTTACGTTTATCTACTATTACAATATTTATATCACTAATATCTACTTTTTTTCCGCATCGGACTCGATAGGTTAAGTGGGTTGCTTGGGTTGGTACGGTTCTGGTTAGAGTAGTAGGTTTTAATTTTTATTTTTTTTTTGTATATACAAAGTGAAAAATTAATGAAGTCACTGTTCTTCGGGGGGGAAGGTGGGGAAGGTGGGGGGGGGGGGTGTTAAGTGTGTGTTGGTATTAGGACGCTGAAGCTGTAAGCTTTAGTTGAGGTCTGAAACGTGCGAAGAGTGGTTGATGTCAGGAGTTACTGGCGCCTGAAGGAAGAGACAATCTGCCCATTACGATTGATATGAAATTTACACCCATTGGGGAGCCGGTCGGCCGAGCGGACAGCACGCTGTACTTGTGATCCTGTGGTCCTGGGTTCGATCCCAGGCGCCGGCGAGAAACAATGGGCAGAGTTTCTTTCACCCTATGCCCCTGTTACCTAGCAGTAAAATAGGTACCTGGGTGTTAGTCAGCTGTCACGGGCTGCTTCCTGGGGGTGGAGGCCTGGTCGAAGACCGGGCCGCGGGGACACTAAAAAGCCCCGAAATCATCTCAAGATAACTCAAGATAACTCAAGGGTAATGGAAGGGGGGGGGTTTGTGGTGGTTGACCTGCTCCTTACTCCAGATACCACCACCCCCACTCCCTCCCCCACCCCATCCTCCCTCTCTCGTGTGTGTGTAAATTGCATTAACTAACACTTCTTGTTAGTTAATGCAATTTATCTGTAGATAATTGCATAATATGTGCTAAAGTGCACTGTCTTGCATGTTGCTCGGGTTACTGAAGACTGCAAGGCGTTTATAGTAATTTGCCATATAGTGACGAAGGGTTTTATAAGGGTCAAAGCTAAGCTAGTTTTGATGTATTTTTATATATTTTTTTACGAATATGGAATTTTGAAATACACCAATTTGTCTTGTAAATGGAGTTGAATAATTCCCAGCAATTGGTTTTTCAAAGAGGTATTCAATATTTCTGCAGATTATTAGTGCAATAATGTTCAATAATTAGAATTCTAATCATGCCTCAAATCTCTAGTATTCACAAAATTCATATACGTTGCAAAGATAATGTATTGCAACAAGTTTTGTGATGCAAAAAAACAAATGATTAGTTGGGTCAATTTTCTAAGAATGGTGTTTGATCAGGAGGAGGAGGAGGAACGGTTGCGGTGTGAGGAGCAGGAGTAGGAGTCGCAGCAGGAGTCGCAGCAGGAGCGACACCTGCCGGAAGGGCTGGGCGGCCGCGGGGGACGCTACCCACAGGGCCGGCTGGCTCAAACGCAAGTATGCCTGCTTGTGGATCCTTCCAAAATCACCAACATTACTGTCTGTCTGTGTGTGTCTCTGTGTGTCTCTCTGTATGTCTCTCTGTATGTCTCTCTGTATGTCTGTGTATGTGTGTCTCTGTGTGTGTGTGTGTGTCTGTGTGTCTCTGTGTGTCTCTGTGTATCTCTCTGTATGTCTCTGTGTATGTGTGTGTGTGTCAGTGTGTGTGTCTGCGTGACTGTGTGTCTCTGTGTGTGTGTCTACACGTCTTGTCTCTCGGGTTGAAGAGCATTGTATTGCTGCATGCATTGTGTTAAACTACTTTAGTCTACACCAATACCACTGTGTCTGTACGCTCTATTGTTAAGCAACCAGTCCTCAGACCAAGTCCATTCCATCCGGCGGTCAACCCGTTCTCGCACTTTCGTATAGTCAATATTGATTTATTAAATACGTGCATATGTGACATACTAAACATACTAGTTTACCCCTTGAAAAGCTTCATAGAAAACACCGACCTTACCTAACCTTCTTTAGTATGTTAAGATAAGCATCTTATTGCTTCATAATTACAATTATTACTTAACCTATTATAGGTATAGGTTAAGTAATAATTGTAATTACGAAGCAATAAGATGCTATTATAGGTATAGGTTAAGTAATAATTGTAATTACAAACCATTTGGTCACCATTTGGTCCGGGAGACATCTCCCGTCACGCAGGGTGCAGTCGCGCCTCCACAGATCTTCAGTATCATCTCTTGATACTGGTAATGGCTCAAAAGGGCCACCACTTACGGGCTATTCATGCCCGTGCCACCTCTTGGGGTGGCTTAATCTTTATCATCATCTGTAATTACGAAGCAATAAGATACTTATCTTAACATACTAAGAAAGTTAGGTAAGGTCAGTGTTTTCTATGAAGCTTTTCAAGGTAAACTAGTATGTTTAGTATGTCACATATGCATGTATTTAATAAGTCAATATTGACTGTAAGAAAGTGCGAGAACGGGTTGCGGCGGTCGACGCCAAAGACGCATTCATCAGTTTTAACATGCTTTTCATTCAAAATAAGAATTTTCTCAAATATAAATTAATATTAGCGTATTGTGCGTATTTTAGGTTTAGGTTAGGTGTTTAGGTTCTGTTGGCGATTATTTGTATTTGTAGTACGTGGGTGAAGCATTTACAGCGTTGTGGTTCAAACAAAAGTCGTCAGTGAAGCACTTGTTCCGGAAGTGTTCGAAGGCCATCAGTTGAGAGTCGTGTGTAAACCGTTTTTCATTCATAAACAGCTGGGGTTTGGCGGATGCATGGAATGGACTTTGGCCTTTGTTTATGCTGCCCGTCCTCCAAACAAAAGACCCAAAAGGGATTCCATCCACCTGCCAAACTCCCTGCTTATGAATGAAAAACGGTTTACACACGACTCAAACTGATGGCGCTCGAACACTTCCGGAACAAGTGCTTCGCTGACGAATTTTGTTCGAATCACAACGCTGTAAATGCTTCACCCACGTACTACAAATACAAATAATCGCCAACAGAACCTGAACACCTAACCTATGCCTATATATACACAATATGCTAATATATTATATTAATTTATATTTGAGAAAATTTCCGTTTTGAATGAACAGCATGTTAAATTAATATTTATGAAGGCGTCTGTGGGGTGGACCACTGGATGTAATAGACTTGAGTCGAGGACAGGTTGGTTTATGAGGACGGGCGGCCTGACGGCTGAGTAGACAGCGCTCGGGATTCATAGTGCTAAGGTTCCGGGTTCGATCCCCGGCGGAAACAAATGCGCAGAGTTTCTTTAACCCTGAAGACCCTGTTCACCTAGCAGTAAATAGGTACCTGGGAGTTAAAGTTGTTACAGGCTGCTTCATGGGGATGTGTAACAAAAAGCAGGCCTGGTCTATGACCGAGCCGCGGGGACGCTAAGCCCCGAAATTATCTCGAGATAACCTCAAGATAACGGGCTGCTAGATGCTGGGCCGGATGAAGTGTTGAGGGCCGGATGAAGTGTTTGCTAGGGTGCTTAAAGAATGCAAAGAGGAGCTTTGTGACCCACTGTCAACCATATTTAATAAATCAATAGAGTCAGGCAGAGTGCCAGAGTTTTGGAAAGTTGCTAATGTGATACCAGTTTTTAAGAAAGGAGATAGATCACTTGCGTCTAACTATCGACCAATTAGCCTAACGTCTATTGTGGGAAAGTTACTCGAATCTATAATAGCAAATAAAATTCGTCTTCATCTTGAAAAACATAAATTAATAATTGAGTCGCAACATGGTTTTATAAATGGCCGTTCATGTTTAACAAATTTGTTATCTTTTTATTCTAGCATTGTTGAGGCAGTTGATAGTGGTAAGGATTGCGATGTTGTATACCTTGACTTTAGCAAAGCTTTTGATACAGTGCCACATGAAAGACTGATTAAAAAAATAGTCTCATGGTATTGGGGGTGCTATATTAAGCTGGATTAGGGCATGGCTATACCAAAGGAAACAGAGAGTTAGTATAAATGGAATCAAGTCAGAGTGGGAAAATGTTGTAAGTGGAGTGCCTCAAGGCTCTGTCCTGGGACCTCTGTTGTTTATAATATATATAAATGATTTAGATTCAGGTTTGAGTAGCAACATTTGCAAATTTGCCGATGATACGAAAATCGGTAGGGAAATTAATTCGGAGGAGGACTCACTATCACTTCAAGTTGATCTAGATAGGGTTTTGAAATGGTCAAAGGATTGGCAGATGCAGTTTAATGCTGATAAATGTAAAGTTCTGAGGTTAGGTAATGATGATAGAGTTACAAGATACGAGCTAGATGGTGTTGTGATTGCGAAGTCGGATTGCGAAAGGGATCTGGGAGTTATGATTAGTAAGAATTTAAAACAAAAGGATCAATGCATAAATGTTCGTAATAAGGCAAATCGGACACTTGGATTTATTAATCGCAGCGTTAGTAACAAGACACCTGGTGTGGTTCTCAAGCTATATCTTGCTCTAGTTAGGCCCCATTTAGATTATGCAGTTCAGTTTTGGTCGCCATATTATAGAATGGATATAAATTCACTTGAACGTGTCCAGCGTAGGATGACTAAGTTAATTCCCCAAATTAGAAATCTTTCATATGAAGAAAGATTAACAAAGCTTAAGTTGCATTCACTGGAAAGGCGAAGAGTTAGGGGTGACATGATAGAGGTTTACAAGTGGATGAATGGACATAACCGGGGGGATATTAATAGGGTATTAAAAGTATCAACACAGGACAGAACACGAAACAATGGATATAAATTGGATAAGTTTAGATTTAGGAAAGACTTGGGTAAATACTGGTTCAGTAACAGGGTTGTTGATTTGTGGAACCAATTGCCGCGTAACATTGTGGAGGTGGGGTCCCTCGATTGTTTCAAGCACGGGTTGGACAAGTATATGAGTGGGATTGGGTGGTTATAGATTAGGAGCTGCCTCGTATGGGCCAATAGGCCTTCTGCAGTTACCTTTGTTCTTATGTTCTTCTTATGTTCTTATGCTGTATCTTGAAGAGCAAAGCTTCTGGGAATTGAGATTTTGATTCTTTGAAGTTAGTTTGAACTCTCACAAGTCAAGCCTGGCCTCGGGCCGGGCTTGGGGAGTAGAAGAACTCCCAGAACCCCATCAACCAGGTATCAAGTAGTCATCAGTTGTGAAGACCAATGATTGACGTTAGTCAGGCAGGAGCCAAGTGATGGGGTCTGTACTAGGTGTTTAAGGCGGTCAACAACTTGGGTAACACAGCGTCATTTTTTCTACTGACAATGTTGACTGCTGGAGAGCTTAAGTTAGTTTAGTTCATTTATTATGCACCCCATACCCATCTTGTGGGCGGTAGTGGAAAAGGTTACAGAGGCACATAATGGGCTCAGGGACTGAACCCCACAATTTATTTAGCTAAGCATTTAGACTGCTGGAGAGCGAAGTGAAATCCATAGGTAAGGTCCTGTCTTGAAGGAAACACAGGAATCTCCCGTCACGCAGGGTGCAGTCGCACCTCCACAGATCTCCAGTATCATCTATTGATACTGGTAATGGCTCCAAAGGGCCACCACTTACGGGCTATTCATGCCCGTGCCACCTTTTGGGTGGCTTAATCTTCATCAGTCAATCTTGAAGGAAGGGGGGGGGGGGTGGCGCCGGGTCCGGTGTTGAGTCTTTGTTGTTCTCTGAGAACAAACCTTTAGTCACTACCATATATATATATTTGTGGCGGTGTTTACATTTTGTCTCTTGCCGATAACGAAACGAATAGTAGTAGTAAAGACGAGTAATACGTAGAGCTGTTATCTTATCTTGAGGTTATCTTGAGATGATTTCGGGGCTTTTTAGTGTCCCCGCTTTTTAGTGTTCCTCCACCCCCAGGAAGCAGCCCGTGACAGCTGTTTGTCAGGCCTCGCAACTCGTATTTCTGAAAGGACAACAAAGATAATGCGTACTAGTCCATTCACCTGGACATGATGAATGGAGTTCATGGTATACCTCGACGCTTCCGGGGGGGGGGGGGCTTCATTTGTGATTGTTTTTAGTCGTAAATGTGAATGCTTAATACGTTTTATGTTTAATCGGCAAAACTGAAAGCATTCCTTATTTTAGTAAGCAGGATTTTGTTGTATTTGCCAATGTTGTTGTTACAGCTCGGGCAGGTTCGTGCCTCGGACGCAAGACGAACTTCTACTGTTGATTCAAAAAGTACCTCCGGCGTCTTGTGCTCGAGAAGACACGCGGGAATAATGATATATATAGATAAGACATATTTATAACACGTGGTTTTTATCTTCACGTTTCTTCGGCGGACAGGTTCTTGGTGGAGGTACGTGGTCTTTGTTATGGCGGGAAGGTCCTGGTGGCTATTTTGAGTCAGGTTGGTGCAAAGGTGGAGTGTGTGTGTGTGTGTGTGTGTGTGTGTGTGTGTGTGTGTGTGTGTGTGTGTGTGTGTGTGTGTGTATGCAGCTGTGCCAAGTGTTGGCACTACACTCTATGCCGCCCCTTCCCCCCCCCCTTCCTAGTGCTTACCAAGTGTGCCTCGCAGGTACACAGCAGGTACACTGTCGGTACTGCTCTCTCTCTCTCGCCGGTACACCTCCCAAGGTACATGTCACGCGCATATCACACTCGTGCGATCATATTGCATGTGCATTAAATTGGTACGCCTCGCTGGTACACCTCGCAGGTACGCCTTGCTGGTATGCCTCGCAGGTACACCTCGCAGGTACGCCTTGCTGGTATGCCTCGCAGGTACACCTTGCAGGTACGCCTTGCAGGTACGCCTCGCGGGTAGGCCCCGCTGGTACGCCTCGCAGGTACGCCTCGCAGGTACGCCTCGCTGGTACGCCTCGCAGGTACGCCTCGCTGGTACGCCTCGCAGGTACGCCTCGCAGGTACGCCTCGCTGGTACGCCTCGCAGGTACGCCTCGCAGGTACGCCTCGCTGGTAACACTTATTAATAGTAAGATATTTTATGCATGAGAGGTGCAGGTGTATCACAGGTGTGGGTGTTGCAGGTAGAGTGCTGGTGCACACGTCACGGGTAGATTATACGTGTGTTCATCATAGTTTACACTTGAAGGCCTCCAGTTAGAGCGCATATTTCGCAGGTAGAGTGCACGCGTCGACCGTAGATAGTATGTCGCGGGTAGATTTGTGACGTCGCAGGAAGATGTACGTGGTGGAGGTAGATGCACGTATTGGAGGTAGATTATATCCGTGCACGTGACAGGTGGGGAGGTGGTTGTCTGCCACTGGCTATAATTGTATTGGTCGAGCCCGTGTGTGTGTGTGTGTGTGTGTGTGTGTGTGTGTGTGTGTGTGCGCGCGTGCGCGCACGTGTGCGTGCGTGCGTCCATGTGTGCGTTCATGTGTGCATGCGCGCGCGCTGAAGGGGGACTAGTTTGCGGGAGTTCTTCCTCCCTGGTGTATTTTCCTGTCTATCTTCCCCACTTTTTTCTCTTCCTTCTTCTCTTTCCCCTTTCTTTCTCTCTCTCCTGTCGTTCTTTTTCACTTGACTCCAAATGGTTGGTAAAGGCCCACTTGAGACGACAAACTATGTGAGAGTGATCTTAGAGGCGTCATAAGTGCCGGCCATCTTAAGATGCACAAGTTAGACCTAGTTGCCAGCAACAGGGCCACCAGGTTGCTGGGAGTCGTAGCTGGGGGGAAACTGCTACTATGTAGCGTTCGGGACGACCTTCATAATGAAGCAGCCGCAGCAATGGCAGTGGCAACAGTGACACTAGTGGTGGTTAAGCAGGCTGTTTATTACACACGGAAATCACAATTGCCTGATGCGTCAAATGAATCATGTTTTGAGCATGTCGTAGCTCCACGGGAGACATCTCCCGTCACGCAGGGTGCAGTCGCACCTCCACAGATCTCCAGTATCATCTATTGATACTGGTAATGGCTCAAAAGGGCCACCACTTACGGGCTATTCATGCCCGTGCCACTTTTTGGGTGGCTTAATCTTCATCAATCAATCAATGTCGTAGCTCAGTCGATTAAGGCAGCGTCTGGGATGCTCTGGGATGGGGGAGCCGGTCAGCCGAGCGGACAGCACGCTGGACTTGTGATCCTGTGGTCCTGGGTTCGATCCTAGGCGCCGGCGAGAAACAATGGACAGAGTTTCTTTCACCCTATGCCTCTGTTACCTAGCAGTAAAATAGGTACCTGGGTGTTAGTCAGCTGTCACGGGCTGCTTCCTGGGGGGGGGGGTGGAGGCCTGGTCGAGGACCGGGCCGCGGGGAGACTAAGCCCCGAAATCATGTGAAGATAACCTCAAGATAGGAAGGTGTGGGAGTGTGAGGACGCTGGCCTCCCATACAAGACCATCGCCACCATTACCTCTACGGTTGGGCGCTATACAGTCGTGGTGGCTGGGCGCTTACTCCTCATGCTTCCTGTCCTTCTGCTGTTGAAGATTGATGTACCGGGAGCTGCGGCCAGGTGGACGCGACCTGGCTGGTTATGGGATGGGGGGGGGCCCCAAGAGGATGGGGAGGGATGGGGGGGGGGGGAGTCAAGATGATGGGGAGGGATGGGGGGGGGGAGAGTCAAGATGATGGGGAGGGATGGGAGGTAGAGCCAAGAGGATGGGGGGGGGGGGATGGGAGGCCCAGAGGTGTGTGTTCACAGCTGTCAAGCAGAGATGGAATGAGCCTCATAGTTGCTGGGTCCCGGTGACCAGACGTTCCCTTACGGAGATCTCAAAGGGTAAGGGTGCCCCCACCCCCCCCCCCCCAGAGAATGAGGGGGTGGGCCCCCCTACCCCCATCCCCTCGAGGGTAGGGGGTAAAATAACAACGTACTGGAGTGAACGATATGGAAGAAAATGCAAGATAGAACCAGTGAAGAGCAGAGGTGCCATAGGCACAATCAGAGAACACTGTATAAACATCAGAGGTCCGCGGTTGTTCAATGTCCTCCCAGCGACTATGAGAAATATTGCCGGAACAACCGTGGACATCTTCAAGAGAATACTGGACTGTTTTCTAAGAGAAGTTCCGGATGTGTGGGTAAGTGGGCCTGCGGGCCGCTCGAAGCAACAGCCTGGTGGACCAAACTCTCACAAGTCAAGCGTGGTCTCGGGCCGGGCTTGGGGAGTAGAAGAACTCCCAGAACCCCATCAACCAGGTCTGATGGTTGAGGGGGGCGTCAGTTTTGCCGTGACGGGAGCGCCACTGTGGGACAGGAACGGTATCTCGCCTCGATCCACTTTTTGCTGGTCGAGGACCTGTCGGGACTTCCCCTACACCCCCTGTGGGGTTCTTGTGGTGCTGGGGAGGAGGGAGTCAAGGTCACGGGGATACGGGGGGGGGTGCATAGTAGGGGTGGAATGGTTGTTAGTAGAGGGGGGGGGGTGATTAGCGGTATCGGGGGGAGGTTAGTGATTGTGGGGGGGGGGGGAAGAAGGGGGGTTGTGTGTGGGGAGGGAGATGGGGGTGGAGGGTGGGGAGAAAGATGGGGCGGGGGTGGGGAGGAAGATGGGGTAAGGAGGAAGATGGGGGTGGGGGGGGGAGTGGTTGGCCCCAGCCCCGAGGTCCCCCCCCCCACCTGCCTGGATCAGGATTCCTCAAACATTTACGTAGGTAGACTGCTTACGTAAGTGCGACAAGAGGACAGAGCACTTATCTCCCCCCCCCCCCCCCCCCCCCACACACCCAGCAGTCACCAAGCATTTACGCAAGCACTTCCGAAACCTGTGCATCTTTCCTCGGTCATTACGGCCTTGTTTACACTTGTTTCAAGAGGTCATGCGCTCTGAAGCGTTACAAAGTTTACAACAACTTCGCAACCTTGAGCTGCCAAATGCTCAAGCTCGTAAAATATGAGGAATGGCGCCAAGCCGCCATGATTGAGGAAAGATGTACAGGTTTCGGAAGTGCTGTCAGAGGACTCGGCTCAAGTCCTCTGTTTTCCCACACAGGTTATCTTGAGAAGATTTCGAGGCTTAGCGTCCCCCGCGGCCCGGTCCTCGACCAGGCCTCCTTTTTGTTACACCCCCCCCCCCCTTCCCCAGGAAGCAGCCCGTAGCGGCTGTCCAACTCCCAGGTACCTGTTTACTGCTAGGCGAACAGGGGCATCAGGGTGAACCTGTTCCCGCCTTCGCCGAGGGCAGGTTTCCGCCTCCGCAGGGGATCGAACCCGGAACCTTAGGATTACGAATCCCGAGCGCTGTCCACTCATCCGTTATGGTGGAGAGGTGACTTGGTGGGTGGAATACGTTCTTAAAATTAACAAGCATGCACATAAACATGGCTGTGTGCATCTAGGCACGTCCACATGTATCCAGACAGTTGAGAGGCGGGACCAAAGAGCCAGAGCTCAACCCTCGCAAACACAACTAGTTGAATACATATGCTAACACTCTTGTGGGGAAAATGTTCCAGGGCTCCCCTGTGCCACTTGGGAAGACGAGAGAGCAAGTGTATCCTGTCCTGATGCGCCTCCGTTCAACGAAATTGCTGAACATGAGGAAGGAACTGAATATTCCGTGTAAGTGATCTTATCACTGAAATTAATGTTTTAATTGGTATCAAGATGCTTAGGCTAATCCAGCCCTAACCCCTGCACTGAAGCCCTCCAAGCCTTCTTTCTTGAAGGTCAGCATCCCTCCAAATGAATTACCAGCACCGCCACAGTGTTCAGAATGTATAATATTCATCACTTTTACCGAGGGAGACAACGACACTTTCCTGCCCCATGGGAGATCATCCCCTTCCAAATGCAGATGAAGTCACAATAACGTGGCTGAAAAATGTTGACCAAACCACACACTACAAATTGAAGAGACGACAACGTTTCGGTCCGTCCTGGACCATTCTTAAGTCGAAAGTGATAATGACACGACGACGAAACGTCGTCGTCTCTTCAATTTATAGTGTGTGGATTAGTCAACATCCCTTTCAAATTAGTCTCCCCCCCCCCTTTCCTAACCAAGAAGCTGATTAAAGAACAAGCCTTGCTTCGCCAAGAAACAAAGTACAATCAATGCCTTAAGCTAAATTGATGCTTTGGTCAGGGAGCGCTCCCTTTCCCAAATTATTTACACTGATGCCTCCTTGCCTCAGTCCCATGGTGCAGCTGATACGTGCTTGATGCCTGCTTGATGGGGTTCTGAGAGTTCTACTCCCCAAGCCTGGCCCGAGGCCTGGCTTGGCTTGAGAGAGTTTGGTCCACTAGGCTGTTGCTTGGAGCGGCCCGCAGGCCCACCACAGTCCGGTTGGTCCGGCACTCCTTGGAGAAAATGGTCTAGTTTTCTATTGAAGATGTCCACGGTTGTTCCTGCAATATTTCTTGTGCTCGCTGGGAGGATGTTGAACAACCGCGGACCTCTGATGTTTATACAGTGTTCTCTGATTGTGCCTATGGTACCTCTGCTCTTCACTGGTTCTATTCTGCATTTTCTTCCATATCGTTCACTCCAGTACGTTGTTATTTTACTGTGTAGATTTGGGACCTGGTCCTCCAGTATTTTCTACGTGTATATTATTTGGTATCTCTCTCGTCTCCTTTCTAGTGAGTACATTTGGAGAGCTTTGAGACGATCCCAATAATTTAGGAAGCTGGGAGTGCAGTTGTTATGACAGCGAGAGATGGTTCCTTCTCCTATGAGTGTGAAGCGCGTATAAATAACAGAGCATCCACTCTTCAAACAGAATTTGTTGCCATAATCCTTGCTCTCGAGCGCGTATATGAATCCAAAGTTGACACGCTAATTGTAAGTGACTCCTTGTCATCCTTGACTGCCCTCAGCTCCCCCAAGCCATAACTGGGACGTACTTGTCTCTGAAGCTAGACACAGATATGATGAAATAATCAATGGTGGAGTCAGAGTTTCTCTTGTGGATTCCTTCCCATATTGGTCTCTGAATGCATGATAGAACTGATGAGTTGGCCAAGACTTTTGCTCAAGGAGAGTGAGCTGATTTCCATCTTGAACTGCCTTTGAGCAGCCTGAGGGCAGTAATATTCCGGGAACATAAAAAAAATCTAGAAGACTTGAAACAAAGTGAAATTCACACCAGTTACTCCATCTATCATCATTCTATTATACAGGAAGAACCGCACGTTTATGGGTCATCCAATAAGGTTAGCAGACGTCTAGATGTTACCACTCCTTGGCTTAGGCTCGGCTACAAGTACCTCTGGGAGTGTGTAACATCTGCTGATGTACACTTGTCTAAATGTGTCGTAGAAGCGTGTGCACCGTGCCAGCTCGGCGGACTGCCCGCCTGCTGCCCATAACTCTCTTTATATTCAACATTTCTACCACTTTTCCTACACATCTTTACCAAAAGAAAAAAGGTGCGCGTGATGTTAGCAATTGTGATTGTGAGGTGGGGGGAGTAGTTATGGTGATTGGCGTGTAATGATAGTGGAAGGAGTTCTTCTACTTCCCAAGCAGGCCCACATATCCACTACAACCTGGTTGGTCCGGCACTTCTTGCAAGAACCTGTCCAAGTGCCTCCTGAATACCTCCACCTTTACTCCTCACGTGTTCTAGTCTGCACTTCCTTCCGTACCTTTGGCTCTAGTAAGTTATCATCTTACTGTGCAAATTTGGGACCTGGCCCTCCAGTATCTTCCATGTATGTATGTATGTATATATATATATATATATATATATATATATATATATATATATATATATATATATATATATATATATATATATATATATATATATATATATATATATATATATTATTTGCTGCCTCTCTCGTCTATGGTGAATGGTTGTAATTATGAAGTGGTGGTGGTCCTCCTGAAGGGTACTAGTCATTTGTTTTTACCTTCGTGTCCTGAGCCCAGCATCCCGCATCTCCACCGGGAATCTTCCCTCGGCAATGAAAAAGTTGCTCCTTATCCCTGAACTTTATCCTTTTTCGCCCAGGACCTTGGCGGGCGTGGCGGACTGGCTGACAGGAAGCCAAGGTCGTGTCGTGACCCCTTGCGTCATCTGTACGACCCTCTCCCTCCCTGTCACTCTCCCCTACTTTATTCTTTGTTTCAACTATCTAATCTTCCGCCTCTTTGCCTCGTTTAGCTGGCTGTGCCGCCTGCACTTGTAGGGCCGGGCATTGGTAGTCAGTATAGGTGCGTGTCGTCCACTAGCGAGGTGAACGTCGTCTAGCAAGGTTAACGTCGTCTAGCGAGGTTAACGTCGTCTAGCGAGGTTAACGTCGTCTAGCAAGGTTAACGTCGTCTAGCAAGGTTAACGTCGTCTAGCAAGGTTAACGTCGTCTAGCGAGGTTAACGTCGTCTAGCAAGGTTAACGTCGTCTAGCGAGGTTAACGTCGTCTAGCGAGGTTAACGTCGTCTAGCGAGGTTAACGTCGTCTAGCGAGGTTAACGTCGACTAGCGAGGTTAACGTCGACTAGCGAGGTTAACGTCGACTAGCGAGGTTAACGTCGACTAGCGAGGTTAACGTCGACTAGCGAGGTTAACGTCGACTAGCGAGGTTAACGTCGACTAGCGAGGTTAACGTCGACTAGCGAGGTTAACGTCGTCTAGCGAGGTTGACGTCGACTAGCGAGGTTGACGTCGACTAGCGAGGTTGACGTCGACTAGCGAGGTTGACGTCGACTAGCGAGGTTGACGTCGACTAGCGAGGTTGACGTCGACTAGCGAGGTTGACGTCGACTAGCGGGGTTGACGTCGACTAGCGGGGTTGACGTCGACTAACAAGGTTAATCTCCTCGTTAAGCAACACAACCGTTAGCTGTGGTACAGATGCAACAAGTATTTACGCATCAACTCAAGAACCTGTACATCTTTTCCTATTCTTCGGCGGCTTTGTGTATTAAGCACTTGACGAGCGTCAAACTACCCAATTAAACTGTTGTCGTTGTTATAAACAGCCTCCTGGTGCCCCGAAGCTCATGAACGGTTTAATATCTGTAAACAAAGCCGCCAAAGATTGAGAAAAGATGTAGAGGCTCGTTAGTAGATGCGTAAATGCTTGTTGAATCTTGACCCTGGTGTGTGTATGTTGTTGTTAAAGATTTGCTACCTGGAACAAAGTTCCAAGTAGCACGGGCTATGGTGAGCCCGTAGTGGTGTGTGTAACTTGGCGGTCGTGGCAAACGATTGTAGTGTCTAGGGTTCATCTTGAGGTTACCTTGAGATGATTTCGGAGCTTAGCGTCCCCGCGGCCCGGTCCTCGACCAGGCCTCCTGGTTGCTGGACTGGTCAACCAGGCTGTTGGACGCGGCTGCATGCAGCCTGACTTATGAGTCACAGCCTGCTTGATCAGGTATCATTTGGAGGTGTTTGTCAAATTCTCTCTTGAACACTGTGAGGGGGTTATCTTGAGGTTATCTTGAGATGATTTCGGGGCTTTAGTGTCCCCGCGGCCCGGTCCTCGACCAGGCCTCCACCCCCAGGAAGCAGCCCGTGACAGCTGACTAACACCCAGGTACCTATTTACTGCTAGGTAACAGGGGCATTCAGGGTGAAAGAAACATTGCCCATTTGTTTCTGCCTCGTGCGGGAATCGAACCCGCGCCACAGAATTAAGAGTCCTGCGCGCTATCCACCAGGCTACGAGGCCCCTCCTCGGGGTTGAGCAGGGTGTTGGGGGAAAGAGGGTTAACCCTTTCTGTGTCATTTAAGAAGTGACCTAAGAGTTTGAGGGTCTAAATAAGCAGTTGACTGCTGGGACAGTAGTGGAATACACGTTTCTTTGTGTGTGTTCGTAAATAAGTCTTTGCAACTCCAAAATGGGGAAAGCAAAGCATTAATACAAAATATAGTCATCTGTCAATTGAAAGTGTAAAGAGTTACTAATATGTTTGCGTATTTCTAGGTAAATTACCACAAACTATTATATATATATATATATATATATATATATATATATATATATATATATATATATATATATATACACACACTCACACTCACACTCACACTCACACACACTCACACTCACACACACACACACACATTATACACACACCTTGTATCCAGGAATATAATGTAGACGTGAATGCATAACAAATGACAAAAGAAGTTAAAGTTGAGACTGAGGGAAGGTCCTTAAGAGTGCAGAATGGCCCGCGGCCCACCATGTCCGCGGGGGACCTGCGCGGCCTCCAGTCGTCTGCCAATCAGATAACTGCCTCTGTCTCTTGCTTTGCAAGATGACACGGGTTGGGGGGGGGGGTTGTTTGCGAAGATTCGGCGGGTGTTGAGGGGTGGTGGTGCTGGGTGTGTAATGTGAGTGCCTTTGTCTCTCTGCCAGCAACACGAGCGTGAAGACCTCCCCCGTCCTTCACCCGTCACGACGCCTTCAGTAGTGAACTAGGCTATCGCGAAACAACGCTCATTGTCCTTGCGGTTTACGCATGTTAAAAAATTATGTATATGGGAATTTATACACGATAGTGTGTGTGTGTGTGTGTGTGTGTGTGTGTGTGTGTGTGTGTGTGTGTGTGTGTGTGTGTGTGTGTGTGTGTGTGTGTGTGTGTGTACTCACTCACCTAGTTGT